GAAATGTTAGTACATTAATATTATGTGATCTGGTCCCCTTCTCAAATATTATTCTTTCTTGGTTATTCAGTTTGTTAGTATTTTTCCTAGTATTTCAAAAAATATTTTTTCTAAAGTAGTCTATTTTCTTATTCCAGATAATTCCTATCTTCTCTCACTGCTGGGTCATCTTGCATATCTGCAATTAAAAGGTGAATTACATAGGCCTAATAGTTTGATTGATTTGTTTCCTTTTATTTCTAGTAACTGAAAAATGTATGTGAAAGTACTATTTTTCTCTTTCAGAAATGGGAATGACTGAAGATTTCAGTGGCTCTTTAATGAATGGCCATATGAAGCAATAACAAAATATCTCTGTTTTACAGTTTTTCAACAGTTGCCCTCTAATACTGTTTTGCACTTGATCCGTTTTATCATTATTTAATATGTATTAACCAGTAATTCAAATTGGTAAAATGTGTAGATAATATTCCACGAATCATGCTGATTTGACTCATCTCACCACTTTACCATTGAACCATTGTTGGTGCATAATGTTCTGCTTCAGAGTTCAAATAAAGCACTTAAAAAAAAAAACTTTTACGTTTATTCCATATAAAAAGGAAATTGAGGTAATCAGGGTGCCGATTTGTTGAGTCAGAGGTGAACACTTGGTGATTTCACCATTGCCATTTACAAATACACATTTTTAAATAAATAGCAAAATAATAACCCGTTGATTCCAAAAGGAATTTTGCATGACTAACACAGTAACAGAATAATTTTAAAAATGTGACCAAAAATGAACCGTTCAAAGGCTGAGTGGTGGGAGTGTATATGGCAATGAAGTGAATCTACAGTGTAGTGTAGCAAAATTTAAATTATTTTCAGACCTGATTTCGTGAATACTAATGCGTACAGAGCGCAGAAGGTGTTTTGGATATTGTTCCATTGGATGCCAAATGCAGAATATCATGTAATGAGGAGCAAAGATTTAACATATGGTGCCATCTAGTGGCAGATGAAAAAAGCGACATCCGTGTAAAAGGATGCTGTGTTATATATGACTTCTGTTTATTTAGATTTCACAAAAGACGTGGACAGAAGCAAAAATGTTTGTAATAAATGTAAATGAACATAAATATAATAAATAATTTCAGGTCTAAATCTTTTCAAAATCTAAAAGTCTTTACTAGAAAACAAAAGCACAGCTGTTGAGAGAGGTTGGGGAAAGCATGAACTGACATATGCCGAGGCCCTGGAATCTTCTGACTTTTGCTCTTTCGACAACCAGACAAAGATGGTTGAGAGAGAGCCTTTATGCTTTATGCCACTTATTGATCATGCTCCACTGTTTGAGATTATTCATTGTCTAACAAGACAATAGCCTAAATTAAAACCAAATAGTTCAAGTCTTGAAGTGATCAAGTTACACAATTAATCTAAATGAGAAATGAAAAAAATCAATACATCAATATGTACAATACATATGTTTTGCACCACAATACTCTGAAGTAATTGACTCATAAGGAATCCATTATTTTGCTGAAGGAAGTGCCTCTGTCTCTGCACTTACTCCCAATTTCTCTCAACATGGGGACAGCCTGACAGGAGAGGTGTCAGCGAATAAATGAGAAAAACAAAGTAACTGGTGTTACTTATTTGAAAAAGTAATTTAGATATTTTCCTGAAAATTTAAAAGTAATGCATTACTTTAGTTACTTGAAAAAAGTAATCTGATTATGTAACTCGCATTACTTGTAATTACTTGTAACTGGTCACAAAGTTGTCTTTAGTTTTATTTAAAATTGTAGTGTGGTATAAAGTAATTTTTACTAATATAATCTCTCAAATAATATGAGGTCATAAATCTGCATGCATAATACTTAAAAGAATAAATACTGTTAAAAATAGATGTAGATGCAGATGCATATCACACCAAAGTGTTTCACAGATTGTAATGTATATTATTATGATTAAATTAGCTTCAGCCATTTCTGAAGTTGTTCTAACTTGGTTGTCTACAGAGAGACATCAGAAGAAACCTGGGGGCAGAATGACCCTTACCAAAAAGTAGTATACTTCAAGTTTATTTTAGTAAGTATACTTAAGTAAAGTTCAAGTATATTTTTAAGTACAGATGGGAAGAGGCGATTTAGGACTTGGGGGGCAGATGGGGTCCCTGGAAGGATGGCTGCCCAGATCCACATGCTAACAACATCTGAGCTCTTAACATTTTTTCAAGAACTATTTCAAACATTGCATCTGTGCTAAATATACCCCCATCCCATTAATCCAAAGCTAAAGCGTTTATCCTCAGTTTGAAACTGCTCATCATGAATGGAGTTTTCTAAAAGAGCATCTTATATCACACCTTCTGGTCAGAGAAATTATCGTTTTTGTGATTGGTTTGCTTCCTTTTATTAAATCAACAGGAATTCACAAGATAATAAGATTTCAATCAATCGTCTTCCTGGAAGATGGGCTGGCATTTTTCATCTTCATGGTAGAAAGTCCAACCAACTGTGGATTGTATGTGTAATGATCCTGTAGTGGAAAAGGTTGACTGACAATCACTGTGTTTACAGAAATACTTGCACTCAGCTCCCTCACAGCTCCAATATGGCTTTTGCTCAGTAAACGACACTTGGATTTATAAAGGTTACATTAGACTTGTGCAGTAGCAGGTAAAATTAAACTACAATTTTATGTCACAACTGCAAAGCTATAAAATTAGCAGACCACTTGTCACATAAATGCCACCACAAAAAAAGGTGAAAACATAAAAGCAAATAAGTGAGTAATAAATCACTCTGGGTCAATTCCAGACATCACAATAATCCATTAACCAGAGCATCACACGGTAATGCCACAATTTAAAAGTGCTGGTATTAATTAGATTGTGCTTATATGATGGGCAGCCTGTCATCTACAATGGTGAGCCAGAGTTAGAACACTGATAAGAGGGTCCAAAGTAAATGAGAATGTTTAACTGCTCAGCGGGACTAGGGTCATTTTAATGCCACCGCTACCAAGAATCTGCAGCTGTGCAAAAAAATCAGACGGGTTTCTTGACGTGCCCCATTATGTGTTAAAAGGTCTAGAGATCCGTATGACTCAGTTGGGCACATCAATAAGCGACTAGGCACGGACTGAAATTAGTATTACTGGAAGTCAATAAAGTCGATGACTGAGGCAGACACACACACACAAACATAATCTATCCTCAAAGAGAAGGACCCATCCTCAAAGCAACCTTGCTCTAGGCTACTTAGATGAACCTTACTCAAGTTAATTAAAAATTTGCTCACAAACAATTGACCCTTTCTTTACAGTAAAGTAGTAATTAGTCTAAACAAATGAACACTTTTATTTTCCTGTCATGCCTGTGGTTCTGTGAAATTTCATTTTAAGACCGGCAAGTAAATACATTTTGCATACTATACTGTTGAGCAATCCACATAGGATGCATAAATTACTTACATGTGCATTGTGCAAGTGCCGTGGTAATGTATTGTTTCTAAGCATCTGAATAGGAACGACAGTAAGGAATGTTACAGATAAGACACTTGTGTATTGGATATTATCTCAGTTTCTTGCATTTTCCTACTTTTCTTAATTATTTCTTAATTTAATCTTCACAGCTAATCATGGGGTTTAATCTTGTAGCAGATGAATCACTCCTAGTATTTTCCCTCTTGTCAGTTTGAGGCAGGGAAAGGAGGCATTTCAGACATTATCTATGGGAGAAGATAATTCTGATATGCTTTCATCAAATAATCTCTCATGTCAAAATATTTAGCAGATTAAAAATATTCAGTTTCTTTCTTAATAAAAACAGATTTGGAGAAATTTACATCACTTGCTCACCAATGGATCCTCTGCAGTGAATGGGTGCCGTCAGAATGAGAGTCCAATCAGCTGATAAAAACATCACAATAATCCATAAGTAATCCACACAATCAATTATCAGTCAATCAATTAATGTCTTGTGAGGTGAATGTTTGTAAGAAAAAAATCCATATTAAGATATTTCAAACCTTTGCTTCTGAGTCCTCAATCAGTAATATTGCAGTGAAAAATATATCTCCAGTGAAAAGGTCTCGTCTGAATCAGGAGAGAAATACACACAGATCAATTTACACAAGTACCATTTACAAGAGAAAACAGCTAAAGCCATTCTAAAAAATGTTGGTGGATTTTGATGTGAGTAGACAACATGGGGTAGACTTTTTCACTGGAGGAAGCATTATTATGGAGAATGTTTTGGCCAGAAACTATGGTTTAAAGTTAAAACGCCTCCATGGATTTGTTTCTTACATGCAGCTTTTGACTTCACACATCGAGTCGTGTTGATTACTTGTGGATTATTGTAATGTTTTTATCATCCAACTGAACTCTCATTCTGACGGCACCCATTCACTGCAGAGAATCCATTGGTGAGCAAGTATTGTTATGCTAAATTTCTCCAAATCTATTCTGATGAAGAAACAAACTCATCTACATCTTAGATGGCCTGATGGTGAGTAAACTCTTTAATTTAATATATTTTTTATACATATATATATACATTATAGGCCTATATAGTATATAAAGGATGAACATATACCGTTTTGTAGATAGAGGAGCCTACCGTCCGACGCCCCGCTTGATTTGATTTTGAGTGCATATGTCTATATGTTGCATACCTCATTTTTGCATTTTTGGTTGTAATGACACAAATGGTCATGTGATATAAATATGGAGGTGTCCATGAGGGGGCAACCTGCTCCATATAAAATAAAAGCTTTTTTCCCCCTTTTTATCTTTTTCTAGAAGAGTGATATGTCTGGAGACTTCATTTAATGTGAGTGTGTATTATTTTAATGACAGTTTTTCAAAATAACTCTATGTGTAAAACTTTTTCATGAGCAAAAAACTACTGCTTGCACCTTTAAGAGAGCAAAGCGCGTGACTCCCCTCTGAAATTTCTCGGTAAACTTGGAAATGGACTTTTCTCATTACCTCGAGGGATTGAGATGGCCATGCTGACGGACTGTGTATATAAAGGAGAACAGCATGAACATACTTATGCTCAACTGTGGACGCAGAGCGAGCGGACCTGTGACGTTTAATTGCAACCTTTACGCAAAGGCGCTCTTCTGGATTTCTGCCTCCTCAAGTAGATTGCTTTACCAGAAAATATTGGAATATTTCGAAAATTATTAAATAATAAGAACACGTATACAACACACATTAATTTTACACTTATTTATGTGTGTGTTTTAATTAATATAATTATTTTTAAACAGACATTATTTTTACAGTACGCAAATTCTGTGTCTGTTAGTATAAAAACACCTGTCTTGAACTTTCAAGAAGCTCCCTAGTGATGATTTTATGATTTTTTTTCCTGGTCTTTTTTATCCCAATGCCCGCCCTAATCGCTGTCATGGAATCGTTTGGGTCTTTTGTCACCGAGTCTACCGACATCACCACACCGGACGATCCGTTCTCGGGTCCCCTCAAGTCTGTTGCGCCCTGGAATTACACTTTCCTCGCCTGTCTGATGTTCATAGTGACTTCACTGTCTTTAACAGAGAACTTCACCGTTATGCTTGTGACGTTTAGATTAAAACATGTAAGGAAACCGTTGAATTACATTATTGTTAATTTATCTGTTGCTGATTTTCTAGTTTCACTGACAGGAGGCACTATAAGTTTTCTAACTAATGCACGAGGCTACTTCTTCCTGGGCGTCTGGGCGTGTGTGCTGGAGGGATTCGCTGTCACTTTTTTCGGTGAGTTATTATATAACTATACCAAAAAGTGTAACATTTATTACTTTAAACTAAGTAGTTACTAGTTATGTTACAGTTTATTATATTTATTTGTTAGTACTTATTCCTCTGCTACTAGCCATTCCCAGTGACAATTCCATTGTTAGTGGTAACAAATTGCACATTTTTGCCATTTAGTTCTATTTTAGTATGTATTCCACTTGTTGCTGGTGCCTTTTCTAGTTTTATTCTTTAAATAATAGTATTATTTCTTAGTTACTACCTACCAGGATTTATCCCAGTATATTTATTAGTAACGTTCAATATGAAGAATCAGTAGAGGAAAATTAGTAGACTATGTTAAAAACAGTGACTAACACTATAGATATGATTCCCTATTGAATTTCTTTCTTTCTTTATTTTGGAAGATTATATATTTCTATTGGCATGTTGTTGTTGTTTTTTTTACAACAAATATCATGGTTAAGTTCAAGTTCAAGTTCAAGTCTGCTTTATTGTCAATTCTTCCACATGTACAGCACATACACACAGAGAATTGAAATTGCGTTACTCTCAGACCCTTGGTGCATACAGATAACACTAACAGTAGAACATA